TAAATGTAATCCCTTCCTACACCTTACAAACTAAGGAGAGTGCTATAATATGTGTAAAGAATAAAGTATTCACATATCCTTGATAGCGTCTGCTGTGTTGGGTCTGTCTCAGTGACAGACTCAGGATGCTGTTGTTTTCTTCTTTGATCAAAACAATGTTGTCTTTTCCTCTGATGAAAACAGTGTGTCCCCCAAGCGGATATTCCATGAATTGCACTTTAATAAAAATATTCATTCCGTGTCTTTTATGCATTTTTTCACTTTTAAATTATCCTGCGGGCCTGATTAAACCTCCTTGCCGGGCCGTATGTTTGACACCCCTGTTCTTGGCGATCGTGAATAAAGTGCAAATAAAACACCCATTACGCACACTACCAAAACGTGCAAGCCAACTTTATTCATTGTTTCAAGATGCTTTGTTGATCAGGGCAACTCCGCTGGAATAGTTGAGACGCAAGTCTCGTCTGGATGCTTGCGGGGTGCTCTCTGCTGGTCCCAACGGGGCCGGGGGCTGAAGAACCTGCAAAACCCAAAGGATCGCGGTGAAATCAAACTTCGTTTCAGATTGGGGAGGAAACATTGGATGACTTTCTAAGGGCCCTGATAACTTGTCCCTCTCAAAGTATTCACTGTGTATCAATCAACATGTCAGAAATATTTCAGTCTCAAACTCCAGCAGAGGGCTCGCCATTGGCAAGGGGAAACAATAAACCCGATTTCACTTTCCAGTGTCAGCTAACAGCAGTAAGAATCATTGTAAAATTCAACCGCAAACTCGCAAGAGGCTCACACCCGTCGTCGACGGTGTTGACAAGGTCTTTACGAAACGTAAGGGCGCTGTCTACTGGTGACCAATAGGAATGACAAACCTTCGACTGAAGTGGCTCTCAACTTTACAAGTACAGTCCCACCGAAAAAATACAACTCTCTAGGTACCTTTATCAGGTGCTGTCTCACCATGTTGGTCTTTGTCGTTGTGTTTATGATCCTCTGGACGAGTTGGAACTGGGAAAGTCAATTCCTTGGTCCGGGGGTCGGCAACACGCGGCTCCAGAGCCGCATCCGGCTCTTTAGCGACATGTAGTGGCTCCCTGGAGCTTTATTAAAAATGTTTGAAAATGGAAAAAGATTTTGGTAGTCGGCTAATATAGCTCAAATAGATATAGATACATGTTGCAGCTCCGAAAAGGAGAGCTGAGGTGTTTGTTTTTTCAAACGTACACTTTATGCTTTTAACAGCCTCGGCAAACACAGGCACGTCTGCGTCCGACTCCGTGCCTTCTCTCTTCTCGTTCAACTCGAGAGGCGTTCAAAGACAGCCTCCGAAAAACGGAAATTCATGATCACTTCACTAACACTAAGAAAAGCAAAAATAATGCACCAAAACAAAAAAAATCAAGCGAGGAAATCACAAAATAAATTATATGGGGGCGTTTGTGAACACACAACAAAGGAATAAATAACAATTCTGAGACAGTCCAGTCTCCTACATACATACAGTATGTGTTTCCTTCATTGTAAGTTTTATAAAAGGCTTTTATTTTTTTGCGGCTCCAGACATTTGTTTTTTGTTTTTTTTGTCCTATATGGCTCTTTCAACATTTTGGGTTGCCGACCCCTGCCTTAAGTCTGTCTGTGGCTGCTCAGACGGAGCATGTGCTCAGCGTGCACTCCCGACCAAGCCCCTCGCCCCTCCCCTCTCTCATCTGGTCTACCTGTCTGAGCACGGCTCCTCTGAGACACATGAGGGAAGAGGCACTCTTCCTAAAGAGAGAGAGAGACAGAGAGGGAGACAGAGAGGGAGACAGGGGGGGGGAGAGAGAGAGAAAGAGAGAGAGAGAGAGAGAGAGAGAGAGAGAGAGAGAGAGAGAGAGACAGGAGAGAGAGAGCGAGAGAGAGAGAGAGAGAGAGAGAGAGGAAAAATGACAGAGCCGGCTCTCATCGTTCACTTCAAAGAGCCGGCTCTTTGTACCGGCTCGTTCGCGACCGACACATCACTAGAAAGCAGGCAGCACGGAAGAGAGAGCAGGACGTGACGACCGATATACATTCTTTGGAACATATTTATCAGTAAGAGTCTTGATAATGACCCTGATTCATTTGAATCAGTTCTTTTAACGAGGGAAACTTCTAAGACAGATAGGACAGCAGCTCTGTTGGACCGGAGTTGAAAAAACAAATAAAAAAACCCACTCTGGGGATATACAGTATTGAGTTATTTAAGGCAAGTTATGTTTCTTTTACTGCGCCTATTTTTTATGAAGTTAAACATCAGCTGAAACAAATAGTTTGATGCCTCTTTTTTAGATTGCTTGCTGGCATTTGCTCTGGCTGTGGAAAAGCATCCAGTAATACAATAAATCACACACAACTCCAAGCAATACCCTCAAAACGCCGCAAGGAGGCACTATTGTTTTGCAGAGATCTTCGTGTTCCCTCTGCATTGCATTAAGCCTTGCTCAGGGCAAGCAGTTACCGTATGCTACATATTAACTCGAGTTTACACTTGTTGGACAATTTTAAACGTGTAAAATGTTACTTAAACATTGTCAACAGAAGTAAAGGCTACAAGACCGAGAGTCTGATTCTGGAATGGATGTTGTTGTGTAAAGCTTAATACTGTATGCTATATTCAAGAATTGCTGTTCAAAACACATTCAGTCCAATCTTTTTATTTGAACCACTTTAAGGGTACATCTAAAAACATGTGCAGGCCACTATGTGCATGTGACACAAGACAAAAAAAAAGTGTTTCTACATAATATATACAATGTAAACATTCTACAAACACGCACGTGAGGAATAAGGTGTATGTACAACTCTGGAATATGGTGGATCACAGTTCAAGGTGGTGTGTTTGCTTTTGATAATGCAGTTAAAGTTTAAGAAGCAGAGAATAAAATCATCAAATTTATCACACTTCTCTAAAATTGAGGCTGTCTTTAAAAAGAGAGGTTGAGGGGGGGCGGGGGGTGTCACAGTTCATGGTGCGTTCAGAGTTGCTCATTGGCGGGGGCGATGCGGCTCTGCATCTCAGACATCACTCGCCTCATCAGAAGCATCAGGTGCTCGTGGACGTCAAACAGCTGCTGAGGCGAGCAGCCGCTCAGATGGGGCGGCGTCACTGCACAGTCGAGGGCATCCAGTTGGGCCAGAAGACCCTCGGGACCTGCCGGCGGGTCCTTGGATGCTCCAGACGCACTTGAGTCTGGCGTTGCCTCAGACCGCTCTTCCTCCAGCTTGGCAGGAGCGGGCTCATTGGTTAAATCTGTGGCCGCAAACAGATGGGTTGAAAAAAAATTTATGATCAACAATAAGTACACATTCACCTTGGGCGTGTGGAAGCTTTTTACTCATTTCTGTTATATTACCACAAATTTAATAAAATATTAAATTGTTTAATACCAATGCTTGTGTGTCTATTTTTAGTTGTAGGGGAAAAATATGGCTCACAACTTGTAAGAGTGATGGGTAGAACAATTAGATGCTATTCCACTAGGTGGCAAAAGAATAATAATATTGTGAGCAAGCACATTTTGGAATCATCTTTATTTCAGTATACATACCTCTTGTGACATTTTTGTGTGGTAGCGTGCCATGAGATCTTGAACAGACGTGCCTTGGCACAATTACAATTTTATCACTTTTCAAAACCTAATGAAGAGCTCAAAAAGTAATTGTCTGTTTGAATATGTGTTGGCGATTGCACATGTTGTGTCGGGCAGAATCCTTTTAGGTTACAATTAGTTCCTGCTAATAATCACCACTAAATGGCATCGGAACACTACCAGGCAAACAACTCAATGAGGACTGTAAAGATACTGTAATCGGATTCTAAGTAAGGCGCACTGTCGGCTTTTGAGGAAATTGAATGCTTTTAGGTGCGCCTTATAGTGCAGAAAATACGGTACATGAAAAAAAGGGGGCAACAATTTGACGATATTCTACAAAAAATATTGTCAATCTGCAATTGCTTCTCAGAACAATTATGGATATACGGCATTTCTGAGCAACAACTCTTAAGTTTTCAATTATCTTCATACATTTTCTGCAAAAGAGTGTACAATGATATTCTACCGCAATATTTAAAAAAAGAATTTCAAATGATGTCCAAGCTATAAATTGTGCTTTTATTGATTTTTGTGAATACAGTGAAACCTCGGTTTTCGAACGTCTCTGTTCTCGACCAAATTGGTTTTCGACCAAAAATTTCGAGTTTTTTATGCCTCGGATTATGACCGAAAAATCGGTTCTCGACCAAAGTGAGCGCACTTGAATGCGCCACTTGACTCCTCTCGCCTTCCTTACACGAGGAAGTGACGTTTCCTCGGGTAGACGAGGAAGTGACGCTTCCTCGTGTAGCATTCCATTATGAGCAGACGTGTTCAATAAAGATTTTTTTTTAAAAAAGAGCGTGGTTTCGGTTTTCGAGCAAATCAGTTTTCGAACAGCCTTCTGGAACGAATTATGGTCGTATGACTGTATTTACCATATGTCACTTAAATGTAGTGATGGGTACAGAGGCCTGGTACTAAACTGTCCCCGGGCTGAATTTTAAAAACAATTCAGAATCGATAAGCTCCTCCCCTCTACGGTTTTGTTCACGGTCCTGGAGAAATTACTCCGATTGATTTATGCTATATGAATGTTATTTTGGACCTTCTACCTCTTTGTTGTTGCCTCTAACTCCCAATAAAATGAATGTTTGTCTAAGATGCATGTTCCCAATCGGAGCCAAACCATCCGGCCCCGCTAGTTTGCCATGCACGAGGGGAACCTGCGACTCCTTCCTGTGGCAATGCAGTGTTGTGTAATCATAATACAACATAATGCGTAGGATTAAAAACGTACTTCGTGCCACCTAACCCTCTAGGTTTTATGTTATTTTGATGTGTGGAGTCGATATATGTGTGACGGTGGTGTACACACACCTAACATGTTGGCGGATTTCTCTTCTTCATCCTGGTTAGGCGTCTCCTCCGGCTCCGAAGTCATCATTTCCATCTCCACGAAACTCTTCAGCTCATCTAACCCTCGGCCTTTCCGCTGGAGGGGCATTGGTCATGTGTCAACACACACGTAATGGGTAAAAAGAAGGCGGAAAAACGGTTCCAGATACCTGCTGCTCGTAGGACTTGAGGGCTTTCTTGACATTGGAAATCTTTGGTGAGTGAATAGGTAGAGTCTTAATTTCATTGGGAGTCAGAGCACTGAGGTCGCCGACCGTTTTGATGTTGCGTGCTCGCACGAGCTGCCCAAAACCACGGGACCTGCCAGGGTGACAACAAGCACAATAAATCAGTTTGCAAGGAGACTGAAACCATTCATTGGTCATCCTTTTTGGAATGTGAAAAAGTCCATTTGCACTCATCTGTACTCACCAAATGTTGGACGATATCTGAGGCAGTACCGCTTCGATGGGTGCGGCGCATCCGACCAGGGCGGGATAGATGCAGTTTTTGGAAACGGGCCGAGGCTCCCGACTCATCTCCGAAATCTTGGAGAAAAGTTGTAGAAAAAAATTAAACGTGCAGCCGACCAGGGTGAATATTGGTCTCACAGCTAATATGCTGCTGGAGTTCATAATTGGTGCACGTACCAGGCATTTTTTGGAACTCCTGAAATTTGGACTGTGAAGATTCCTGGGACTTATAGTCAGCGGCCTTTTTGTTGGCGTTGTGACAAACTGAAACCGGCGGGTGGGGTGTTAAATACCATTCAGAAAAGAAAACACCTTGAAAAACTATTGTCAGTTCAAGCCAGTTGGCAACACCATACTTTTGGTTGGGGTATGGTGCCGACTTTGCCTCTTCTGGGGGAGCTCGTTCTGACAGCAGGACTGCGGCGGTCGATGTCGTCGGCCGTCTCCTGGTGTTGAATGGGATTAGCAAAAGACACGCGCCTGGACTGCAAAGTAATCCAAAGTAATCTGTCAGTTAGACTGACGGGAAAAAGTAGTTAAAGCAAGCTGATAAAAGGTCACCAACCTTGACGAGAGGTGAGGGTGTCTCCTCCTCCACAGGTCTCTTCTGCCCTTTTTTGAGAATGCTGGTTGAGGGAGAGGCTGAAGGCGACCAGGTTCCTTTGGTCTTGTTACCGCACGGGCTCTGGACCAAGTCTGGCATCAACTCCGCCTCCAGGTCCTTCAGCTTTGCCGGAGAAGAATCCTGGGAGATTGCGCTCAATGTTGATTCAGTGGTACAAACGTCACTTTGAGCAGTTTTTGGATCGCCATCTGTGTTTGACATCTGGGTTCTCTCCTCATCTTGACATCGTGTGAAAGGTACCTCCTCATCCCGAAGACCCTCATGTAGGGGTAGATTGTCTTCTAACACCGGGTGTGATGTCTTCTCTATATTGGCGGCTGAACCCTCTGCAGCATTTGAACACTCTTCTTGCTTTCGTCCAAGAGCGCAACTCTGAGCTTCCTCCACTGGGACAACTGTGTGATCTTCATTGACAGAAGGACATTGCTTTCCTACAACTATCGGTGTAGCCTCCTCTGGTGAGGACTCTGAGACTTGCAGCTTCTCTTTCGCCCCCTCAGAGAGAGTCTTGGTGGGTGCAGCAAAAGCCTGAGAATCCAAGCCCTCCTGACTCTGCTCAGTAAGAGTGCCTTGCGATGCCAACATTTCAGATGATTCCACGTCCCCGGTGTTACTCTCTTGTGAAGAAGCAGAGTTTGCTTTTCTTCGGGACTTTCGTCGCCTTCCTTTCCTCTTGCTAGGCGATGAGCTGAGAGAGGTAATTTCAGGCTCAGGGTTTTCAGGTTCCAGGGCTTCAGCAGCGGCAAAATTCATTTGGATTTCTTTGCAGATGTCAGACATATCCGGTGGTTCAGAAAGGATTGAATTTAGGCTTTTAGGGGAGTCCTCTTGTACTTGAGCAGTTTCCAACATTTCTGCATCTACAGAATTCTTTTCTGCAGCAATAAAGTCAATGTCAGATTTGACAGTGACGGGACTTGGTGATGTCCCTTGGGATTTCAGTCTCTTTAGAGGCAGGGAATATTTTTCTTTGGCCTCTGCCAATTCAGATTTTAATGCCTCTGTGGTGGCTGTGAAGACTTTGGAAGATCTCCGTCTGGATTTCCTGCCTTGAGAAGACTCTGTGGATCCCGCAACATCAAAAGACTGGGAGCTTTCTGGAGTGGAAGTGGCACTCGAGTTGGACTGTACCTTGCTACTTCTTGTCCGACCTCTTTCACCAGCTTCTGTTGGACTATTGTCCTGAGAATGAGACCGACTCTGCGTTCTGGGCAAGGCCTTTGGTTCACTCTTATCTTCTGCTGTCTCTGACGATGCCTTCCTTCGTCTACGTCGTGGCAGAGGCGGACTATCAGTGGATGTTGGCGTAATCTCTTGTGTGTCTTCTTGACTGGATTCAGTTTCAGGTTCATCTTTGGCGATGTCCTCCTGATTACTAAGAATGCAAGCTGGCGTGCTTACTCCTTGGATGGTGTTACTAGTTAAAGAAGCAATAGACTGAGAATCTTTTTCTCGTTTTTTGCACTGTACTAAGAATTCAATTTCTTGTGTTTGGCCATCAGTTTCGGGTGAGACAATGGTTATTTGAGAACCTGACCTATTATCATCCTTTTTAATTTGTTTTGGTAGCTTGTACAAGTCAGTCTGGCTAGATTTTACGGGTTCAGACAAAACCTGCGACTGGGAGTCGCCTCCTTCCAAAATCTTACTTAATGATTTTGAATGTCTGACACGTTTTTGCTGTGCCTGGCTTCCGGCATCAGACCCCGTGTCCGATTGTGAGTCTGTTTGGCTGGACGTGGGTTGCATCTCAAGAACCTCCTCAGATTCTGGTAAGGATTTGGAAATGATGATACTCCTTCCCTGTTTCTCAATTTGAGTATCATATTGAATTTCTGATTGTAAGTCAATTTGACCAGATACCTTTTCAGACATCATCTCTGCATTCATAAGATCCTCCTCCTTAGGCTCTATAAAGGATGTGGCAGGCAGGTCATGTTGTCCGTCTGATTTCTGATTGGCCAGAGTGTGTGATTTTAAGTTGGTTTGACTGGATATTTCCTCAGACATTTTAAGGCCCTCCTCTCTTGACTCCAACAGAGAACTGCACCGTTGGCCACAATGTTGCTGTGACTGCTTTTCAGAATCAGCCCGAGTTTCTGATTGCATGGATGTTTTTTCAGACATTGATCCGGGCTTAAGATCAACCCCGTTGGGGTCCTTGAAACAATCACTTGGGCGGCAGCCATTTTTTTGTGAGTTTTCTTCAGAATCAGTCCGAGTGTCTGAATATATATCCGCTTGACTGGGCAATTTCTCAGACTGTGCTGCACCCCTCCGGACTTCCTCTTTAGGCTTCGATAAGGATTTGGGAGGTCGCCCACGCTTTCGCAGCGACTGTCTTTCGAAATCAGATGGAGTGCCTGATTGCAACTCACACTGACTGGACACAGTCTCGGATACAGGCTTTGAGTTCTGAAGACTGTCCTCCTTGGGCCCCCGTAAGGATTTGCTGTGCCTTTGCTCTGACTGGCTTTCAGAATCAGACTGGGAGTCGGATTTTAAGTTCGTTTGACTGGCAATTTTTTGACGCTTCAGATGATTATGCTTGGTCTCTGCCAGGGACTTTCGAGGTCGGCCGCGCTTTGGCTGTGATCGGCTTTCAGATTCAGACAGCTGGTCTGTTTGACTTGACTCTTGCGATCTGGGTCTTCTCTTTTTTTCTTCAGGTTCAAGGAGGAAACTCCCTGAACTGCTGTACAGCTTGACCTTCCTATGTGATCGAACTGGAGACTTAGTTTGACTTGAGGAACTGTCACCCTGAGACCTCAGCTGAATTCTACTACTCGCCACCTTGCTTCTCGTATTGGGTCTGTTCAGTGGTGTGCTTGAATCAAGTGGCCTTTCTCCTGGGAGGAGATGTTTAGCGTGCTTACGGTGTCTCCGCTCACCCGGGGAAGTCAAACTCTCGGAAAACTGAGAATCATCTCCAGTCTCTTGAGAATCCCCCTCTGGATTGGAGCTTCTCATGTCATCTGATGTGGAAGACACGGAGCTATTGTCCATGGCCACAAATTCAGTCTGAGTGTCTGGGATGACATCATCAACTTCTTCATGACTCGACAACCTTTCAGTCAGCCTTACAGGCTCAAGTTTCCTCTCGCTGTCTAATTTGCGCCTTCGCGGTGACTCTTGGAGGTCACTTACTGGACACTTTGACAGTGCCTGTGAGGACAGCTGAGAATTTTGATCAAGGGCTTTCTGGGAACCCTCTCGGGAGAGGCTGTTTGAGTCCTGGCAACCAGAAGTCTTCATGAGGGGACCTGTGAACGAGGATGCAGTACTGGGGCTCGTAGACTTTCTTTCAATATATTTCTCCAACGTAATGAAGGATTGACGGCGGCTGCCGCCACTTGACTTCTGGGGTGTTCCAGAGACTAAATCTGAAGAGCTTGACATGTTGGGACTGGTGTTTTTATCCACTTGTGTGTCCTTATCTGCTACACTGCCATTGCATCTGGCATCTTCTTCTACGGAAACATCCATTGACTCTGGTATAATTTCCTGTTCCTCCTTCGCTGATTCATTTTCCGAGGCTTTCTGGATTGCAAAGTCTTGAGTCTTCGGGCGAACGTCAGCAACTTCATTTGTCTCCTGAGTTAACTGTAAGAAAACATTCAATACACAGGATTAAAGAGTTTAAAAGTCGTTTACATCCATATGAAGCAGGGATGTAGTGACTTGTGTTACTGTCGTTTTAATCAAATAAAATTTGATTAAAACAAGAAAAAAGGGCAAGCTGCACATCGTCAATGGTTGACTGCTTCTTTACCTCAGCGGAAGCTTTCATTGCAGCTTTGTCAGCTTCTTCGGTGGCTAATTTGCTCCTACAGAGAGGGGGGAAAAATGGACAATTTCTGATTTGACACTCTTTTTGCAACCTTTACTTTGTTTCATGTCCAACATTGAATTTGGCACTTACAGAGAGTCTTCTTGGCTCTGCGTGTACTGCGTGAAAACTGTAGTATCCAAAGAGGCATCCAGGTTGTTGTACATGGCAGGTATGTCAACCCTACGTCACAAAGAGTATATTTTAATAACCTTCTGTATTTTCACGACCATAAGGTGCACTTAAAAGTCATTACATTTTTTCCAAAAAGGATAGTGCGCCTAATAATGCCTTATGTATGCACTGAGTTCCAAAATCTGTGAATGCTGTTGTGTGACTTCAATGAGTGGTCCGCTTGACCGACTGAAGTTGTGCCGACACGCTGCTTATATCGAGGAAAGGCGGACGTAACCGAGGACAGCATGCGGACGTTAAAGTGGGAAGTGCGGGCATGAAAGAGGATGCTTCAAGGCATCCCCTCAGTAGGTGGATATCATATAAAGTACGTGCATTGTGGAACACAACATCCCAAAAATTGCACCTATGAAGAAACACGCTTACGAAGCACGTTTTAAACTGCAAGCTATCAGTTACGCGAAGGAATCCATGGGAATCGAGCAACCGCGCAAGAATTCAAGATCAACTAATCCATGGTGCCTGGTGCTTTCGGCACAATCTATCCATCCGGGAAAGGACGACGGTGGCGCAGCAACATCTGTGTGCAAATCGAAATCCTGCCGCCAGACACTACATCGCTGATTCAGCCCTTGGACCAAGGCATCATCCGTGTTTTCAAGGCTCGCTATAAATGCAACACCCTGTAACATCTTGTTGAGGCTGTGGACTCGGATCAAGATTTCTCACTCAAGGACTACTGGCATGCATACACCATTGCATCATGTCTCCGAAATATTCAGAGGGCCATTCAGGAGATGAAAACTGAAACTTTGAATGGCTGCTAGAAACCTGTGGCCAGAGGCAGTGCAAAACCCGACCGGAGGATCCCTTGATGAGATCCATCACTCCGTGGTAGATACAGCTGTGAAGCTAGATAAACAGCTTGGAGGAGATGGCTTTAATGATGTGACTCCAGATGACACTATGCCTTTTAATGCAGTGCGCCGTATGGTCGTGAAAATAAGGTATGTTGAATTAAGAAAAAAGAATAATAATTGTCACAGGCATGAGACATAGAATGGAATTAACAAAGATGAAAGTGGACTTTTCTGAAAATTCCGGAAAAAATAAATAAATAAATGTGTGTGTGTGTGTGTGTGTGTGTGTGTGTGTGTGTGTGCGCGCGCGCGCGCACGTACTTGGCCGATCAAGCATGAATTAGTTTATACAAAACGCTATTCAAATACTCGACATTCAATGATTAATCTTCCTTTTGAGTGCACACGTGTACCCTTTGTGTCTTCCGTTCGGGCCGAAATTTCGAAATCTCCAAGATATGGCGAGGCCATGAGAA